CCTCGGTGTTGCTCCCGCGCCTCGCTCAGCCAGTGAGCGGGAGCCGGTCTGTATGTGGGATCCGAACCCTCGGACGGGAGCGCCGCTGCGCCTCCCAAGCGGCGCACTATCCAGTGCGCCACCGGGCCGGCCCCATAAACCCTTTCTTTGCAGGAATACTGTGTAGGAATGAAATCAGTTGCCTCTTCTCTCATCTGAAACATAACCAGGACTCTGAGAGAGAAGTTTAGACAGAATATAAAAAGGTTTGATTCCATAACTTTGAGGAAAATTTTATTTCATAGCATTTTTAGGTGAACCTGGAAGTTCAGTTTGTAATATAGCTCCCAAATTCTCTGAGCACAGGGAGATAATGACATATTTAATTTCCCTTCATATTTCCTGAAACGATGGCTCCTATTTCATAAAGTGAACTGCTATTCCACGGTGTCCTCTGTTATTTAGGCAAAGGCTACCCATTATTCTAGCTCTTCAGTGTCTCCAGCCCTCCTCCCCAATTCCAGCCCACATGGCATTTGCACCCTGTCTCCCTCTCTCACACCATGTCACTCGGGTGTGGAGGGGGTGGAATACTCTGAGACCTGCCAGCACTTTAAAACACTCCAGCTGGCTGGCATGGAATTGTATTCAGCTGATGAGTTCACTTTCTCACTTTGCCTCTTTAATTTGGTTGCCTTTTGATAAGGCTGTTTAGCCCCTGAGTTGCATCTTTCCAAGATGGTTGTGAGGAGGATTAAGTGAGGTCATGAAAGTAAAATTCTCCGCACAGCATCATCATCAAAGTAGGGCTAGGTGGCTCTAGTAATTACAATTGCCCAAGATCACACAGCCAGGAGGCTCACATCCAAGTCTTTTGTTTCTAAACCTCGCAAGCTTTGATCATGCTTCCTGTGACTTGGCAAGTTACATGATATAATTCAATAATCAGTCTTCCCAACTAGGTCTAGACTTGGACAGATAAGAAACACAGCTGCCCCAGGCCCCTGCCCCCTGCACTTTGTAATTCAGAGACACCTGCTGTAAGCACTTTCCTCCAGTGCTGGCTGTTCTTTCGGGCCATCGGTCACTGAGCAAACCTCCTGGTGGGGCCTCTTTCTGGAGAGGGGAACCTAGAAATGGCGCTCTGTCACCCCTCCCTCCGGGTGCTGCCTGTGTTGGCCCGGCATCATGGAAATGTTCCCACCTTGCTGTGGGAGTGTGCGCTACTCGCCTGCCCCTGTGAGGAGCTGGCAGCCTCCCTGTATTCTTTCCCCAGGATAAGTTAAGTTTCCAAGATCAAGTAAGGAGCAGTTGGGTTCTGCCGCTTCCTCTTCCTGCACATTACACCACTTATACCTTACTGTCAGGTAGAAGCCGACTTCCTCGAGGTCCAACTGCAACTGGAAAGAGTTTATTGTTGGGTACCAACCACCTGTAAGGTGCTCGCCATGTACAGAGCCCATCAGACTGGCCCTGACACTAATTTCTCCCCCTTTCTCTGAATTCCACAAGTATTGATAGCCCCTATCAGCAGTTCTAGTCCTCTTCAAGTGTCTTTGTTTTAGATGTGTATATCTTTCTTCCAATTTGTTTGTAACCTGAGAGAAAGAAACTCTTGCCTCTTACTTCTGATCTGTGTTAGTTGGCGAGACTTACAGGGACAAAGTTGATAGTGACAGCCCAGCTGGAGAAAGCCTTCTCCAGTTAAAAGTTCTGCAGCACCTCTGTTCTGGATCCTCTACAGACAGACAGCTGTCTTTGAGTTCTCTCAGTGGGTGGCTCTGAACCAGAGTTGTGTAAGAGACATGCTCCCCTATTCTTGTGGGTCCCCGTCATCTACCCAGCCACTTGGCTGACCTGCAGCAGAAAGGGACATGACGCTGGAAGTGCTTTCTGAATGAAACAGGGAACGTGGGTGGCCTGAAATCAGAACAACAGAAAACTGAATTGCCAGAATAAATGTTATCATCCTAATAAATGAAGCACATGATTTGCATTCCAGGTCCTTCAACTATTCTATGGGAACCCGGGCGTTTTCCCATGACAGTATTTTTATCCCTGATGGGGGAGCAGAAAGTGAGCAGACAGTTCACGCAATGTCACAGGACAACATCCTGGGCAAAGTCAAAACTCTTCAGGTAAGACAGCTTGGGACTGGAAGGTCAGAGCCAGAGGAGGGGCCCTGCGGTGCAGGGAAGTGGGAAGCGTCCGTAGCTTGGCCTTGAGTAATGGATTGGGAGGTTCAGGGCTTGTTCCTGGCGAGAATTTTTGCTTTTTTGAACCTGACTCAGTTCTATTGAAGCCTCCTATCCACCTGTGAGAGGTACGTTATCGCCATTGTACCCACTTGCATGATACACCCTCTCCTTGTTTCTCGAATTGTTCCCTTATTTTTGACTGGACATGAGAAGCTACAGGACTTGGATGGGAGGAAAGAGCTCCTAACCATTAGGTGTTTCCCCTAAAGTCCCCGAAGCAGGGCTGACTCAGCTGAGAGTGTGCACAGCGCACATTCACTTTCCAAGTCTCCATAAATGGACAGTGAATGGTGAGACTCTTTATTTTCCTTTTGGGTCTGTAAATCTGGCTCCCCTGAGCCACCTTCTCTCAGAGGACCACCACAAAGCTCTTAAAACTGCCTTCTGTTCATGCTGCCACATGGGGCAGTTTTCCTGTCTAAATTTGACCCAGATGGAAACTCATTAACATTGAAAATATAATAAAAAAATAATTTTTCACTAAATGGGGTTGAAATAACTGGGAATCCAGGAAAAGCAAGAGGAACGAAGACGCGTAGGGTCTGGCTGTATGGGTTTGCTCAGTTGCTTGGTAGAATTCACTTTCCCGAGAGGAGTGCCAAAGCAAGCAGTTCTCTGAGATGGGAAGCTTGGAGGCTGTCCAGATTATAAGCAGAGGGCTCTAGGCTGCTGATTTTCATCTATCTGTACGTCTACAACAATGAATGAATGAATGAATGAGTGAGCAAAAAGAAAAATAAAAAAAGGAACAGCTGGCCTGAGTAGCTGCTGATACGATGTTCTTGTTTCTACTGAATGTGCGCTGTGTATTTTATGATCTGTGCTTGGTCACACACACTCAGCTAAATGTAGCATATGGCAAATGGGGAAGTAGCCCACACCCAAACTTCCCCAGATCTTTATGCCACCATGGCCCAAGGTCATAGTCCAGCCCTCGGAGCTAACCCAGCACATGTTTCAAAGCCCGGCATTTCTTAACCAGGTTCCATTCTTGGTTCTAGTTGGCTGTGTTCTGACGCTTTTTATTGACTCAAGAAGAAAAAGCAAACCGCTACTTCTCATAGGTTGGAGAAGAGGGAAGGATGGTGGTGGCCAGAGAAAATTTTGGCCAACCTGCTCCTTACCTTTCCTTCTTCAAGTCTTTTGATTCCTGGAATATTATTCCTAAGAAGTTCTGAACTCCTGGCTCATCATATCTCCTTTCTAAGAGGAACGACTTATAGATTTCAGTCCACGCTGTGTTTTACAAGGGCTTTCTAGGAGTTCTTTAAAAAATTAGGTATTAGTTATCTTAAATAATATCTGCTCTGTAACATCACAGCACTGCCACTCTAAGAAGTGGATTTAGGGTTGTAAAAAAATATATAATTCTGCAGTATTGAAATTATAGAAACTCACAATATGGGAGTAACTGTTATTTCTATTAACAGTAAGGCCTGATTTTAAAGAATGTGATCTCATAATTAGTAAAATGTAAACGACTAACTTCCCTGAAGTGGCATTTCTATGAACACAGGAAGAAAACTATGAGTTAAGCAGAATTACCTAATTTGGATGCTCTCATTTTGGCAACGTCTACTTACAGGGCTGCCTGATTTTGCTTCTGCTACACAGATTCACAAGCTTCCTTACAGCTCTGTAGTTATACTTTTGAAAATTAAAAGGCTTTGCTCTTTGAGGAGGTTAATGGGGACCATTAGCATAGAAAATGTGATTTTGGAGTGACCTAAGATATAACTGTATCACCCCCAAAAGACTGTGCTTTATTTTTCAGTCGACTAAGCAGTATGTTCCTGGTAAGTTGTAGAAATAGTAGTAACTTTATTAACTTGCATGAATGCTTTGCATTTTTCCATGAGAACGTTATGCTGGTATTGATGCTTAGTAAGCAGCATAAATGACCGCCCCCTCGTAGACTTCAGCATGGAATGAGAGGGTTTAGTTGTGTCCGAGGCATGTATGTTTCTCTGTCTGGAATTGTCTTTGTATATGTAAGTATGTTTATTTTTTAAAAAGAGAGAAGAGATAACACCTATTTGACAGTAAATGTTCTGGCAAGCTGATTAACCACCATTATTAAGACATTCTTTTGAAACGAGATTTCTACTGGAATACCATCTGAAGAAAGGGGGGAAAAAGCCATTTTCCTCTGTGGCTTAAGAAACTTCTCAGCCCCTGGAGCCCCTTGGAAACCCAGGGAAGGGTGTCTGTGATGTCTGCATTTGGAAAGGTTGCCCTCTAGTGTCCTCACATGGTCATCTCACCTACAGCTGTCCTATGTTGCACCTGCAGCTGTAGTGACTCTCCACTGAGTACAGAATAACTGAATACAGCACAAATTCAGAATACCCTTTCCTAAATAACATGAATCCACCACCTGCCAAAATTTCTGTGGCAAATGACTGATCCTTTAAAAGAATTACATATTTTTTTCTGAGTATAAAAATAATACATGTGCATAGTGTGAACAAATTTTAATGTCCAGTACAGTTATAGGGACAAAAACAACAGTGGTGTCCTCTTTGAGGGCTCTTTTCATAACAAGTCAGTTGCTCCATGGCCAGTAGCACGAACACCATTTGAATGAGTGAGGGAATGTGCTAAAATAAAAAACGTATACCAGGCCTCTGCCACCACCTGACTGTGGCCTTGGCTGAAGTCACTTAACCTCTCTGACACAGAAAAACAAGGGGGATGCACGTGATGGATGACCTAAAGGGTCCCTCCAGTTCTTAAAATCTGCAAGCCATGCAAAGTCACTGTTTACCTGCTGTAGCATGGAGTAACTTTGTAGGCTTTGCACTTTGTTGTGTTTGGGTACAATGACCTTGTCATTGACTACGGCTGCCCAGAAGCACAGATCAGGGAGGTTGCCTATTTGTTTGAGATGAGACCATGCTGTGAGGTATGTACCAACTGATGATAAAACTCAGGGGTATCACTGTCTTAAGCCTGCAGGTAATTTTCAGAATTACACCACACCTTTGTCAGGAAATGCTTAGTCTATTTGTACCATGGATTATTTGGCATAGGAAGGAAAACCTCCATCCTCAGCAGCTAGTGTCTCCTGCTAAGCTGGATTTCACTTAAAAATGTCGAAGTCATACGTTTGAGGATTTTGACACCCAATGCAGCTGTGAAGGACACAAAAAATAAACATCCATTCTTAGCCACTTCTTACTAGATCGGATGTCTTTAAATCTGTATGCTTTTTCTTTTTTCTTTCTTTTTCCTAATTAGTTTTAACTAGGGAAGTATCCGTAGCTTGCTCAAGCAGACAGCAACTTTATTTTCTTCTGCTTTGCTCTTATAGACAGGGTCTAAGGAACAGCTGGGAAAATCTGGGAAAATGTGGATGCTGGCAGTAAGAGAGCTGCAGAATATGATGTGTGTGGCATTTCCACACCATAGGAATGAGCCTTATAAATATGGATGTGCATTCCTGTAACATCGTTCTCCAGCATTCCATATTACAGCAAAATGGCCCAATTTGAGTGAATAAAATATAGTTCCTTTTAGCTCACATTCCAGCCTCAACAGTAACTCCATTCATAGCCACAGCAACATGGACTATCAGTACAGGCACAAGTTCCACTCTCCCCTCTGGTTATAATTTCAGTATTTATAGAGAAAGAGGCTGGGGTAGCTTTTTTTTTTTTTTTTTTTTTTTAATTTTTAAAGATGACTGGTAAGGGGATCTTAACCCTTGACTTGCTGTCGTCAGCACCACGCTCTCCCAAGTGAGCTAACCGGCCATCCCTATATAGGGATCCGAACCCTTGGCCTTGGTATTATCAGCACCACACTCTCCCAAGTGAGCCACGGGCCGGCCCTTTTTTAATTTTTTTTTTTTTTTTTTTTTTTAATTTTTAAAGATGACTGGTAAGGGTATCTTAACCCTTGACTTGCTGTCGTCAGCACCACGCTCTCCCAAGTGAGCTAACCGGCCATCCCTATTAGGGATCCGAACCCTTGGCCTTGGTATTATCAGCACCACACTCTCCCAAGTGAGCCACGGGCCGGCCCTTTTTTAATTTTTAAAGATAGGGAGAGTGGTAGTTAATCTCTGAAAACTTAAGGGCCAGCTCATCCTAACAGTGTAGTTTTCAGTGATTGCTTATGTCATAGTTCCTCTCATGACAACGCCTGATTAATGGGCAGAATAAAAGTAACAAAAAAAGCCTATTTATCCACATATTCAATTCACACAACACCTAATATTGCTCAATAGATTTTAGTAGTAACCTTTGAATTGTTGACAAATCACACAAAATATCACAACCCAGTCTTCTTTGAGTTAGCCGAAGGAAGTTTGGAGGAGGAACCTCAGGGAGAGCATCGGTGCCAGAGCCTTGTCCTTGGGTGCCTGAGGATCAGTCGCCATGGCCTTGGACCCCAAGTCCTGGCCCTGGTCCACCGTCCCATCCCTGACAGCTGCAGGGCGTGTCTGTGAGGACAGTCGTTGCTCTGCACACGGAGGTGGTAGCCCTACTCCTGACCACACCACCATCCGCCTCCACTAGCCACCAGCCTGAATTTATTTGTGGGGAGATGCGTAGATTTCAAACCAGCTTCTTTACTAAGATCCATATTTTCATTCTTTTTTTTCCTTGTATTGAGGGTGTTCAATCTCCTCTCTTCTTTTTTTTTTTTTTTTTTTTTCCTTTTTTTTGTCCTTTTTCATGACCGGCAACAGATCGCAACCCTCAGTGTTGCGCCCGTACCGGACCGGGACCGGCAACGGGATCGCAACCCTCGGTGTCGCGCCTGCACCTCGCTCAGCCAGTGAGCGGCCGGTCTGTATGTGGGATCCGAACCCTCGGCGGGAGCACCGCCGCACTCCCAAGCGGCGCACTGTAGCAGTGCGCCACCGGGCCGGCCCCCACATTTTCATTCTAAGAGGCAGCAGCCTTATGTTTCCTGTGCCAGGCTGAGCAATGTTTCTGTGACATAAATCAACCCTTTGATGTATACACACATTCTCGTTCCTTCCCTACTCCCTCTTCCTCTTTTCCTGCCCCCTCATGTCCCCCAGCTGTCGTAACTGCGATCTGGTCACAGTTCTTCCTGGCCCTTTCTTTTCCCTCTTCTTCCCAATGCATTTCCTCTGTCCCCTGGACCTGCCTCTCTCTAATCCTCTCCTTCATTTCTTAACATTACTCTTTCCATTTCCCAGCTTTGTCCCTGTGTACTTATTTTTCCCTATTCCACCTGTTTTGTTTTGTTTTTTTTCTTTCCATGTTCTCTTTTCTTTTCCATTTGTATTCACAATGGTCATCCTTTATTTCACTTGAGACTGTGATTACATTTTGCCATATTCTTTTTTGTCTCTTAAACATCAGAATGGACCAACATCAGTATTCTAAAAAAGGACTCAGCGAAGTAAAAGCTCAGTATATCCATTCTTTTTTGTGATAATGGCAAAAATCCTAATTAAATGGCATGAGAGTTTTAGGCCAGGTTCACCTTGGAAGCTCATTAAAGAATGACCCCTTCCATTGTAAGTCCAAGAAACACCCTCATTTCAATCACTGGGGAGCATTCGTAAACAGTAGACCCTGCAACAGGGGTCTCCATCTAAGGGATTTAGGACAGTTTCCAGCTCTTGGTCAACACTCCCAGAGAAGGCTGGGCTGGCAGGACACGGGAACCATTCCTACCTCTTCTGCTCAGGTTCCCACCCCTCCCCCCAGGGCAGCAGTGAGATGGGCCTGTGACTTTGTTGCTCCACGTCCTCTTGTCTAACTCCATCGGCTGTTCTAACTGTGCCTGCTTATTGATCCACTCAAAGGAGATACTAACTGCCGCTTCCTGCTAGACTTGTTTCAGCCCTCTCCTCCTGCAACCCTTTTAGCCTGCTGAAGCTGTACTTCCCTGGCTGAGCTTGGGCTTTGGATGTGTGTTCCTTTCCTGCAGAGTGGGGGAGCCAGGCTTAGGCTGAAATACCAGCCCCTGCCTGGCCATGCTCCTGACTTGGCATGCCGGGGTCCCCGGGCGGCTCGGGGAGGGGAGTCTTGGGCTCATCTCTGTCATGTCTCTGCAATCTCACTGCCCCCCGTGCAGGGCTGAGGGGGACCTGGGTGCAGGTGGGTGGATCTGGTGTCACCAAGTTCAGAGGGAGAGGAGCCATTTCCCTCAAGGGATTCTTCTGCCAGGGAGCTTCAGCACGGTGTTAAACATGCTGCATTGTCTCTTTATGTAACGGCCCCTGTAAGAAGGAAGTATGATGTCAACTTTATGACAGCCAGTGGAGTGCAATGAAAATAACACTGAATGGGATTTTAGAGGACCTGGGTTCAGATTCCTTTTAGGCCACTCATTCAGTGAGCTTATTATTTTTATTTATTTATTTTTATTTTTGAGACATATGAGGATGATCAAAGGCAGTTACCTAGGTCAAGAGCAGTGGTTCTCAACTGGGGTCACTTTTACCCACCAGGGGACATTGGGCAACATCTGGAGACATTTGTCTATTTGTAATCCGGCCTTTCTCTAATTCCAAATACTACTTATCTTCCTAATTTCTACCCATTTTCCTTCCCTTCTCCCCATCCTTTTAGCTACCGCCCGCCGGTAATCAATGCCTCCTTGGCCCTTTTCCCCACTTGGTGCCTTCAGTCTCCTGTTCCATGGTGGGTAGCTGCAGCAAGGCAAAGAGGAATTCCAGATTGTTTCTATCCCATATATGATTTTGGCATCGATCATGGAAAGATTTGCTGGCCCTGGGACCTTCTTCACATTGGCAGTGACCCGTGTGACCAGAGCGTGATGTTCCAGTGCGGGTTCTCAGGCTAGGGCAGGTGAAGAAGGTCGTGGAAGTAAATACTGAAGGGGAATGTGTCCAACAGGGGCTTGGGAGTTCCCTTGTTGCACCAACCCTGACAGTCTTGATTTCCCCAGTGGTTCCTACATTTCATGTAACTATTTTCCATGCAATTTTTTGTCCTTTTAAAAGACTTTGTATAAATAAATTTATAGGGTAATCAAAAATTTTTGTCATAATGTATATCCCAACTTTTGGTTCAGAAATATGGTCTCTGTACCCACTGGAAAATGTTGACATCTCTGTGAAAGAGGTGGCTGGATAAAAAAGCTCATGGCTTGAAGGTGGGAAAGAAAATAAAAAGAAAGTGGAAAGTAAATTAACTTATTACAGGACTGCATCGTGGTTTCCTGGCATGGTGCTGAGTCTTACGGAATCTGCCTCAGTACTTACTAGGTGTGCCGGGGAGCCTGGTTGTGGTTGTTGTGAACTGCTTCGCTGCTTCAGAATGTCTTTCTTTTGTTTCTCTCCAGCAACAGTTGAGCAAGAATATCAAGTTTGGGCACCGGCCACCCAATGCCATTCCCATGAAGAAGGCAGACAGTGGAGAGGCCAACTTGGAGGAGGATCTGTTCCTGACCAGTCCCTTGGAAATTGTGACTCAGCAGGATATCGTCCTCTCAGATACTGAGAACAAAGTAAGTCTCCTGCAGGGAATGACTTGATTGAGAATAAGCCAGGGCAGGATGCTGGGCAGTGGACAGGGCATCCGATAACCCTGGGGACAGCAGTAGGGGGAGTAGGTGGGAGAAGCTCTTCTGGTGAGTAGCCCAGGGCTGGGGGACACTTAGGGCACTTCCTGGGCAGGTGCCCTGACCTGAAGTCAGTGGGACCAACGAGGAGAAGGGGGAGGACAAGGAGACAGGCCCTTTGCACATGCTCTTCCCAGTGTCTTCCACTTGCCCTTTGAGGCTCAGGTTGTGCCCACGTCTTCTGGGAAGTGTCATCTGGCACACCCCCAGGCTGTACTGTCTCCTCCATGCCTTTGCTGTGGGACTGAGCTTGTCCTGCGAGAGGACCAGAGGGATGGCTGGTTAGCTCAGTTGCTTAGGGTGCAGCCTTATAATCCCAAGGTCATGGGTTCAGATCCCTGTACTGGCCAGCCGCCAAAAAAAAAAAAAAAAAAGCCACACAACTGAAAAAGGACTAGAAAGCAGGCTAATGTGGCCAGATCCTGATGTGGGGCAAAATGGGGGTAAAGCGAGGTGCTGAGGCCCAAAAAAAAAAAAAAAAAAAAGCCACACAACTGAAAAAGGACTAGAAAGCAGGCTAATGTGGCCAGATCCTGATGTGGGGCAAAATGGGGGTAAAGCGAGGTGCTGAGGCCAGGTCATGCAGACCATGGGAAGAGGGTGAATTCTATTTTGAAAATAATAGGGAACCTCTGAGTAATTTTAAGTAGGGCAGTGACATAAGCTGATTTGTTTTTTCTAAAAATCCTTGTAAGTGTGGTTGGGAGATTGCACTGAGGTAGGGCGAGCTATGATTGCTCTGGAGGGGAAGATAAGACCCTTTTGTAAAAAGCAGCAATTCAAGGGCTGGCCGATTAACTCAGTTGGTTAGAGTGTGGTGTTGGTAACACCAAGGTCGAGGGTTTGGATCTCCATTCCTGCTAGCCATGAAAAATACACACCAAAAAAACAAAAAACGAGTACAAAATAGTACAGAAGGAGACAGCCTGAAAGACGCAGAAGACCGCTCGGGGCGCGCCTTTTCTTCTCCCCTCCTGTGAGTTTTTGCCCCTTCGTGGCCTTTCACCTTCCCAGCCTAGCCCTCTGCACGTGGCATCAGGGCCTTCTTTCCTTCTCACCCATTGAGTAGAGGGCAGAGGTTGGCAGTGAAGGGCCGAAGGCAGCCAGCAAGGCCGAAAGCTGTGGGGTTGGAGGTTGCATGTGTGACAGCCATTTCCCAAGTACGGTGGCTGCTGATCAGCACCTCAGATCCTCTCAGGCAATGATGGAAAACACCAAGGACTGAGGTTGGGACTGCCCAGGTAGGAACTGCATTGACCTCGGGGAAGAGGACAGTGCACCCTCTGTGCCTCAGGTAATCTCTGTGGGGTTTGGACACGAGCAAGGTCCCCACCGTGACTCCTAAGAGCACTTTGGAGCCAGCTTCACCCAGTGTGTGGGGTGGGCGGGAGGGGACAGCCCTGCACAGGCACAGATGGTGTCTGGTTATCTGCCCAGAACTTCCTGTTCCAGCGTCTGACTTGAGTGCTCTCTTTACTGTTCTAGTCCAGTGATACCACGCCAAGTTCTCTCAATCCACTGAATCCACCTGGAGCTGGAAGTGCAATGGAAGAGAAGGTAATGTGATTTGACTTCCTTACTTTATTTAACTTCCTTACTTTAACTTCCATTTTTTCTTTTCTTTTTCTTTCTTTTTTTTTTGCAATCTGCTGCCTCATTTTCCATTCATAAGTGTTGCCTTCATACATTACTTTAAATTCCTTCAAAATGCAGCCAGTGGTGGATGTGGGATCACCAGTTTCCACAGTAGTACAACTGCTGGAACCAAACCCTGTTCTGAAAAATCACCACACTCTCCGCATGTCTATGTTTGGGGTATTGGGAGTTGGTAATTTTTTCCTAAATGTATCACATACTTCAAGACACTTAATCCATTGAAAAAGGCATTCCAGAAAACCTGAAGGTGCTCAAGTCTGCAAGGAAGAGTCCTCGTATATTTACAGATGGGAAAAAAATAAAGACCGTAGCATTTCTCTACTTTAACGTGTTTTTTTTGTTTATTTATTTATTTATTTATTTTTACTTTTCCGTGTTTCTTTAAAAACCCAGGACTTGGGGCTGGCCAGTTAGCTCAGTTAGTTAAAGTGTGGCGTTATAACACCAAGGTCAAAGGTTTGGATCCTCGCACTGGCCAGCCGCCAAGAAAGAAAAGAAAAACCCTGGGACGTTGCCCGCAGGCATCTAGGGAACCCTGCGGAGACTCTTCTCCCTGCACTCCTCTTCTGTAGGAACCGATCTGCTTCAACAATATTTCATCTACACAGGGGACCAAGCGTCCTCCCAAGGTCTGGCAAACAGTATAGGGAGCAGAGTCTGCTCCCAAAGAAGGGGATGGCTCGAGACAGTGCCACCACTCAGACAGTGGAGGGGCCCCGCTGGGGTGACTGCAAATGAAGCGCGGCACTTACATCCCAGCTCCAAGGGCTTATCTGTGTCTTCGTCTGTCACGTTTGGCTCGGGCTCCTTTTCCTCATTCATTAATTCATCTCTTTTCAACAAAAGCTCAGAATTGGATATCTTTTATAAAGATAACCATAAATAAAGGACAGCTAGAAGGCCAAAGGCTGGAATTACTTTTTCGTTTTTCTGTACTTCTTGTCATAAATTAATATGTACTGAGCATCCATTTTGCTCTTGGAACAAGCCTGGTCTTTTCTCTTTTGTGCATAAATATGGGAGGTAATTGCAAAAAGCAAGCCCTTCGACCAAACCTCATCAGCTCTGTGCTTACAGCATGAACACAGTCCAACCGGTAAACCCTGGACTCGTCCCCTGCTGCCTTTGTGTGTGCAGAGCTGCTGGCACAGGCGCCCTCTGCTGCACGTTGGCATCGTGTGGCCAGGAGCCCTTTCCTTTCTGTGGTTACAGGTGTGGCTTCCCACCGTCTGATTCACTGTGGCCTCTGCATTCAGGCTGTGCCACGGTCTCTCTGACTTTTCCAAATCCACCCGAGTCGGTTTTTCAGTGATCACACCTGTGTTCTGGAACTACAGGCTATTCCACAGTTCATCCTTTGAGGAATTGCACATGCTCCTTGGGCACATTTTTGCCACTCCTGTTTTCACCAGAGCCCTCCTTTAGCTGCTTGGTGCACAGTACTCTGTGACTTCGGAGTGATTGTGCCAAAACTGTTTTGCTAATTAGAAATATGATGTCCTAGCCATACGTGTTATACTGTATTTTGTAAATTTTTTTTTCCTTTTTTGTCTTTTTTACTGACCGGTAACGGGATCGCAACCCTCGGTGTCGCGCCCGTACCGGGGACTGGCAACGGGATCGCAACCCTCGGTGTCGCGCCCGCACTGCACTCAGCCAGCTAGCGGGAACCGGTCTCCACATGGGATCCGAACCCTCGGCAGGAGCGCCGCCACGCTCCCAAGTGGCACACTCTCCAGTGCGTCACCGGGCCGGCCCTGTAAATATTTTTTATACAAATATTTATTCACCACTTACTGAATGAAATGTGCTACTTGGGCTATGTTTTGCTGACCCCTGAGCTACTCTAACCCACATATTATTCAGAGTAGGACAGTCAGTCCCTAGAAGCTTAAATGACCATTACAAATTAATATAAGTAGTCATTGGCAAAACAAATAGCCAGTGTCCTGTCTTTTAAAAACCAGAGCCCATTTCACTGTACCAGTGAGCCCTCCTGTGTGCCAGCGTTCCCTGGGCCAGGCTGGGCCAGGTGCAGACCCGAACGAGTGCTACCACTCTGGGATTCCTGCAGGTTGCGTTCTGATCTGAACTGACCTTATATTTTAATCTCCACTCTAGGTTGCTCCAGTTAAACCATCTCGGCCAAAAAGGCACTTCTCTTCTGCTGGCACCATCGAAAGTGTCAACCTAGATGCCATCCCCCTGGCCATTGCCCGCCTGGACAACAGTGCTGCCAAGCACAAACTGTCAGTCAAGCCAAAAAACCAGAGGGTGTCAAAGAAGCACAGGTGGCTTGCCCAGGTGTGTAGAACGTGTCCTGGCTGGCCGGGCAGGTGCCGTTGCTTGCTGGGCACTAATTCTACCCAGTGGGTTGGTGTTGGGGTGGAGCCATAGATAGAAGGAACTAGGTCTCACCCCACTGGAACGTGAGTACGTGGCAGCATAGGAGGATAAACAGGCTGTTTACTTTCTATCGCCCTTTCTGACATGAGGCTGGTGAACCTCAGAGGGAGGCTGCCGTTGAGGGTCCAGATGCTTTGTGTTTACTTTGCCAGCTTTCCTCTGTATGGCTTAGCCAAAGGTCCTTCATTTGGATTAGGGTGGATGTCTAAGTCACAAGTTTCAGAGGACATGGATGAAGTTCAAATTTCTTTATTTGCTCATCTTCCTAATGCTGGACTATCAGTTTCCCTATATTTTTTTGTTTTGTCTTATTCTGTTTTGTGGCTGGCTGGTACAGGGATCTGAACCTTTGATCTTGGTGCTTGGTGTTACTGGCACCATGCTCTGACCAAGCAAGCTAACCAGCCAACCCTGTTGTTCATTCATATTAACAAAAGGGAATTTGGGAATGACAAATAAAGGGGCTGGAGGATAAAATAAAGATGAAATTCTTCCCTCCATTTCCACAGTTTACTCTTGGTGTGTCCAATGCTGAGTTTGCCTTATATCTGAGCTGAGAACCTACCCCTTCTTTTGTGATTAGGAAGAGTAAGGGCTGTCTGCAGAAAAAGCAAAAGGCTAATTCTGTTTCCCTTCCCAATGTTAGGATCGACAACATGAGCAAGGCAGCCTTGAGAGTCAGCCCTCCGTGGACCAGAATGGACACCCAGGAGAGGACAAGCAAGCATGGCGTGAAAAGGAACCTGAGCCACTGGGTTCTGAGGAAGAGAAAAGACACCAAGAAGAATATTGGCGAGAACTAGAGGCCAAGTGCAAACAGCAAAAGGCAGAAGCAGCCGAGAAGAGACGCCTAGAGGAGCAGAGGCTGCAGGCGCTGGAGAGGAGGCTCTGGGAAGAGAACAGAAGGCAGGAGCTCCTGGAGGAAGGCGAGGAAGAGGAGAGCGAGCAGATGGAGCTGCAGCTAGAGGCAGAGAAGTTGCAGCAAGAAAAGCAACAGCAGGGCCTGGAAGAGCAAGGGTGGCAGGACCAAGAACGGAGGGAGTGGGAGGAAAGAAAGCACCTGGAGGCCAAAGAGCAGCTGGAGGAGAAGCTCCGACAGCACCAGCAGGAGGAGCTGGAGGCACAGAGGCGGCAGCTGGAGGAAGAGGAGGCCAGGAGGCTGGAGGAGCTGGAGGCACAGAGAAGGCAGCTGGAGGAGGAGGCCAGGAGGCTGGAGGAGCTGGAGGCACAGAGTTGGCAGCTGGAGGAAGAGGAGGCCAGGAGGCTGGAGGAGCTGGAGGCCAGGAGGCTGGAGGAGCTGGAGGCACAGAGGCAGCAACTGGAGGAAGAGGAGGCCAGGAGGCTGGAGGAGGAGGCCAGGAGGCAGCGAGAGAACCTGGAGACACAGAGGCAGCAGGAGGCCGAGAGGCTGCAGCTGGAGGAAGAGGAGGCCAGGAAGCAGGAAGAGGAAGCCAGGAGGCTGGAGAAGGAGGAAGGAAAATGGGTGGAGGAGCTCAGAAGGCAGGAGGAAATGGAGGTGCAGAGGCAGCAGGGGACGGAGGAGCTTGGGGAAGCACCACAGAGACCAGAAGAAGAGAGACAGCTGGAGCTAGAGGATAAAAGGGGCCTGCAGAGTCCACTTCAGAATGACTTTGAAGAGAAGCCAGAAGAACAAGAAAGCCTGAAACCCAAAAGACAAAGGAAACACTCCGAGGAACCAAGTACCTGTGAGGAGTGGAGCCAGGAGGCTGAGCCCGCAGGAGAGCAGCAGGGGAAAGGGGTGGGTCTTCGCGGGGGTGATGGTGGTGTCCTTGAGGAAAAGAGAGGAGACACTAAACTAGAAGCTCCCCTGCAACAGGAGAAGCAGATGGGAGAAACACTGCCTCCAGTGGAGAAGAAAGAAGCTGCCGTTCCAGAAAAAGACCGAAAGCTGGAGGAACTCAGGTGGCAGGAGGTAGATGAGAGGCAGACCATGCCCAGGCCCTACACGTTCCAGGTATCCTCAGGAGGGAAACAGATTCTCTTCCCCAAGGTCAATCTGAGCCCCGTGACACCCGTGAAAGACGTAGGACTTGCCTCTGCCTCCCAGGAGCCAAAGGCCCCCAAAGCCAGCCTGGCCTCACATGCCCCAGCCTCATCCGTGAGCATTCCCCACACGGCCATCCTGGTCACAGGAGCACAGCTTTGTGGCCCAGCCGTCAACCTGAACCAGATCAAGGACACGGCCTGCAAGTCTCTCCTGGGCTTGTTAGAAGAAAAGAAGCCCGTGGATGTCCCCACTGTGGAGAACCCACCCCGAGCCCCTGGGGACTCCCGGGCAGGTGGTGGGAAGGTCAGGCCTCCCCAGGAGCCTCCGAGCAGTGCAGCCGCACTGGCCGAATGGGCCTCCATCCGATCCAGAATCCTGAAGAACGCAGAGGGTGACCCACGCAGTGAGAGAGACCAGGGGCCCGGTGATGAGCCCACCCCCAGGGGCCGATGCGATTCCCGCGGGAACCTCCGGAAGACCTCTCCAGTAAATGCGAAGTTCTCTATCATGCCCGCCTGGCAGAAGTTCTCTGATGGTGGCACGGAGACCTCCAAGCAGAATATGGAGGCTGAAAGCATTAGAAAAAAACCCGTGCTGGGACCCAGCGAAGAGACAGCACCCCAGCCCCCACCTGCAGGTACTCACGAGCACCAGAAGGGTCCGGAGAAGCCGGAGGTGCAGCCGGAGCCAGCAGACACCACAGAGGGATGCAAATTTGCCAAAGACCTCCCATCTTTCCTAGTTCCCAGCCTTCCTTACCCTCCGCAGAAAGCAGTGGCCCATACAGAGTCCACGACCTCTTTGGACAGCGAGACCACAGGTGGTATAGCAAAGCCAGATGCCACAATGCCAGGCGGGGAGGAGAAGACCTCACCTTTTGGGATAAAATTGAGAAGGACCAACTACTCCTTGCGTTTCCACTGTGACCAACAGGCAGAACAGAAGAAGAAGAAGAGGCACAGCAGCACAGGAGACAGTGCCGAGGGGGCACCACCTGCAGGGGGGAGCGTCACTGGGGGGAAGGAGACAGCGGGTGTGGCCCTCAAGCATGGCCCATTCCTCCCCCAAGAGAGGAAGCAAGCCCTATCCACCCGGAGGGACTCTGCTGAAAGCCCTTCCAGCGGCCACTCTCCTGTTGTCCATCCCGGGCCCCCACCGGCCAGCAGCCAGACCCCAGCTCCAGAGCACGACAAGGCAGCAAACAAAATGCCATTGGTGCAGAAGCCAGCACTGGCTCCCAAGCCTGCTGGCCACACCCCGCCGTCGTCCCCACTCTCCAAGCTGAGCAGGCCCTACCTGGTAGAGCTGCTGGCTCGTCGAGCGGGGAAGCCTGACCCGGAGCACAGCGAGCCGTCCAAGGAGGGCCAGGAGAGCAGTGATCCCCAGCCACACTCGCCACCACCCCTCAAAGAAAGGGAGGGACACAAGAGAGACGAGGAGGAAGAGGCCGCGGAGAGGAAGCCCCCTCCCCCGCCTCTGTCTACTGCTCAGCAAGAGAAACCTTCCCAAACCCCTGAGGCCGGGAGGAAAGGTACGTAGCTGTAGCTGTGGGATGGAGAACTCTGCCCCTTCCAGCCTGTTGTCTGTGTCACTGCTAGAGCCAGAAGTGCGCAAAGCACGTGTATCTGGTGGAGCTGGTGTTGGGAGCATCTTCGTTAATTAGAGGCCAGTTTGCCATTCCCGAAGGACGTTCACTCATAAGTAATAGTGAGACTCTTTTTACTCATTCTTTAAATTGTGGAAATGCTGACAGACCCTGCTGTGTGTCTGCAGTTCACGTGTGGTATTGGCACTTATTTGTACAAGTAGTAAGTTCAAGGTGCCAATACTTGGACTAATGTATTTTTGGTTGGCAATAGAAATTGACATGTAGTCTTAATTAATGAAGATGTCATTAACTATTTTGAAGAGGTCATGCGGTGGCAATAAAACTGGAGTTCCCTAAATTATCTCTGGGCAGAAGTGGCAGCAAGATGGAAGGTTAGGGGACTTTATACCTCTCCATCTGTCCTATGGATCCTCTCTATGGAAGACTGACTTTGTCTCAGTTTTATGAAGAATGCTCTGCAAATGCAGCCTCGGGTCCCCATGGGCTTGCCACTGCAAAGCCTCCTGCAAAGAAATCTTGGAGCCACCATTACCTCTGGCTGACCCTGATGTTTCTTTATACTAATGTTTGGGGCCACTAAGTGGTTGCTTGGATTGGTTTCTGTGACCCCTGAGAGCGTTCAGCTAATACACTTTCATTTCTGTATTGTACAGAGTAGGAGGTAAAGCGTGGGTCATAGCCTAGGAAGTTACTCACATTTCTCAGAGAAATTCTCCCCTGAGGTCTTTTAGCGAGGGATCATTTTCTCTTTCCTTTAAGGTTTGGGGTTTGGGGTTATTTTTGCAGAGAAGAGAGTTGTTTGCTGAGGAGTGTTGGTTTGGTCACTCCCCTTTATGGAAGATTATGTTGTCCTTTTTAAACGGTCCACTTGCCTGGCTTGGTTTCCCAGAAGGACCTGTTGATCAGCAGTTTCCAGACTATTTCGCTCTAATTATTTCTGTTTGTCCTGCTGAGTGAGGGGCCCATTTTTAGTTTTGACATTAGCTTTCGTGTTGTTAGCTTCTGTGGTATTTGCAAAGTTCCTCTCACAGCCTGCTCTGCTCTGTCACTCGCTTTATCTCTCCCCAAACAAATAATGCTCCTGCTCACTTCTTTCTTTTAGAGATGTCTCTTTGGTTATTATAATTTTCTACCAAAATAACTCTCTTTCCCAGACTCTGGGCTGTCAGACTCTGCTAACTGAATTTTTCTTGATTTGATAGAGAAATTGGTTGCTACCTCCCTTCACTGGGGTTTTGCTGTCCAGCTTGCTGCTCTGGGCCAGGGCTGGCCAAATCTGTTTGACTGAACAAAAAAACAGGATAAAAATGTTAGACACAGACCTCCATTTGCTTGTTGATTGTATACATATAGTACTGTAGCGTCATTAGTTAAAATGCCTGGAACACCATCTACACTTAGGGTAAAGTTCATCGTAACAACAGTGGATGTCAATCTGCATTGCAAATCATAGTCTCCTTCTTATTTTCTTTGGCCAACTTCTTGTTGGATCTGATTTCTTTGTAAAGTGGCAGGCAATGAGCTTGTCATCTCTGCTTTTTTCTTGTGCTTGCATTATTAGTAGTAAATAAAATCTATGGTTTGTTTGCAGGAGTTTACTTATGCCATTTGTAAGGGATCATTTAGTGAAAAGGAGTTATGATATTCCACAAACTCACCCAACTGCAAAACCTCCCAACAAGTGAGAACATGATTGCCAGTCCTCCTGCCCCCTCGCCCTGCCAGCTTCCCTCGGGATTCTGTAAATAAAATCTATGGTTTGTTTGCAGGAGTTTACTTATGCCATTTGTAAGGGATCATTTAATGAAAAGGAGTTATGATATTCCATAAACTCACCCAACTGCAAAACCTCCCAACAAGTGAGGACATGATTGCCAGTCCTCCTGCCCCCTCGCCCTGCCAGCTTCCCTCGGGATTCTCTAAACATACCATTTGTTACTCAAGGCTTTTGGATATATGGGCTGAACGAGGGTGTCAGTGCCAGTGTGGGTATTGAATATTAGAAAAGCTTGGTTTCATTTTTACTTTTTGATTTTAAAGTAGGTAAATAGAAATTCTAATATTTCCTTCCTTCACCCCAGTGAATTACCTTGCACTTGCCCTAGGCACACACCCACTCTTTTGGAGACCACTGCTGTAGGGAGAGGTCTGCATTCCTGGGGCTGTGGCCAGCGAGGACCGATAAGTAGACCAACCCTCTATGAGGTTGTTGACTGTGAACCCACCTGGGGGGAATTAGAACAGCAGCGACAATCCCTATGTGTTTGTACCATATACACTTTCATTACAGAGATCATCTCATTCTGAAATTGCAACCTACACGTATGGTGGGTAGAACAGACAAATAGTTGAGTATCCCTTTCCCCGAGAAATGACATTGGGAAATAGTGACTAGACCCTGTGGTCCCAGGAAGCACTTGCTTGTCTCCCCAGAACTTGAGGAAGGGAACTCCAGTGGGCTGTGGTTCTCCTGTCTACTGAGTTTAGAATGAGAGAGGATAGGTTTAAATTGCAGCAAAATAAATTTTTAATTAGGAATTTTGACCTCCCCGACTAAAAAGATTATGCAGTTGACAAAGAACATCTCTTTCAAACCTTGACTGAAATGAGGGATTTAACTGTGTTTGGATGCTTTCAACAAGTCATTCTTTGTACTTCATTGTATACAAAGTGTGTTTACACCTTCTCATTGGATGTATCTGTAAAATGGAGCATTTTACAGATATAGACACCATACGTGACAAAATGTATGCATATGGAGTCTGAATTCCCCCATCATAGAATGTGAATAATGGCCCAGTTTCAAAGCTCCAGAATATATTCTCTTTGGTGCTTCATGTGGAGGTGGGGGTCCTTCCACAACTTCATAAAATAATGGCAATTAACCTTCTCCATGATCCCAAAGTGACCTCTGCCACAGTCACAGATACTTTTCAGGCACCGTCCTCACCCTGAGGTAGGTACAGCTATGTATAAGTTGTACATGAATTCTACACTGTGGTCTCTCACTGCCACATCCCATGCTTCTAAGAGAACCTCTTTAATTATTTAGGTCCCTTTTCGGTCACTGAATTTAAACTGAGCCAAAGCCTGGTCAATGGACATTCCTCATGTCAATTTTTCCAAATACCAAATCTTGTCTTTGCTCTATTTTGTCTTTGACAATGGTGGACTTTTGCTGGTCTCTGAGGTTCACCAGGCAGTTGGAGAGGATAAACATATTTTCTTCTTCTACTCTCATTTTTGAGGAATGTCAAGAGAAGCACTTGTGTGGGTACATGATTGGGGTAAAACACTGTGGGATGAAACATGTGCCAAGGCCAGCTTCCCCCAGCTCTTCAGATTCTGTGTCCGTAATGCACTCAACAGTCCCACACAGTCGCCATCTTTCCTCCTCGCCCTACCCGGAGATTTCTTTTTCAAATTATTTTAGTCAGCTTATAAATTTAGTCAATTATACTTTAAAGGCATTTTGATACTTGTGATAAGTACCAGTTGGCAGGGAACTGGCCTGTTGCTTCAGTGACCTCCCCAAGCAAGTTCAGATTGAATGTTTAGCCCAGAATTCCCTTTTGCATAATAGCTGTGTATGGAAGTCATTTTGATTTTGGCAATTTGTTTTTTAGATGTTTTACAAAGAAGTGTTACACAGCCCTTGAGTAAAAACAAGAACTTGTTAAGTTAGTTCCAGTGTATATAATGCTTCTCAGTAAAGCAGAATGCGTGAGGTGGTGAATTCTTTTTGATTTTCTGGTTAACTAAAGATGAATCAAGAATTCCTTTCAACTTCAGTTTTTGTTTTTAATACTTTTGAAATGTGTCAGTTTTCTATGTTAGATCATAACTGCATCTATTTGATGATTAGGGCTATTGCAGTGCCCAAGACTCATTATAAATATGAATTCTCTTTCTACAGCATTATAGATCTAAAGGATATAGAAAATTAAGCAGAATCTGCCTTTTTTTTTTTTGCTTGAGTTCCTAATTCAAATTTATTTTCTCATCATTTGATCTTTGTCCTCATCCTAGAGTAGAATATAAAGTCCAGTTGACTGAGAGCCCTTGTGGTAAGGTTCTGGGCTATCAAATTGTAATCTTCTATTGGATTTAAAAAGAATAGGACCATATGAGCCCTTTTCCTTTGAGATAGGAAAGGATTCAATACCAGAATGGATATCTCTGAAAGGGCATAATTTTTACTTGAGGGAAATGAGGGGGACCGTTCTCTCATAGACATAAATAATAAAAATAGCTCACTTTTGTAGAGTGATTACTATATGTCAAGCACTATTCTAATACCCAGGATTTCTTTTAATTTTCACAGCAACCTGATAAGGCATATGCCATTATTATCTTCACTGTATAGAGTTAGAAAACTAAAGCTTAGGCTAAGTAGCTTTTATGAGATCACATAAGATCAAACCCAGGTCTGCTTAGTTTCAGAGCCTAGTAGTGAATCTCCGATACCAACCACCTGTGAGGTGTTTACCTCCAGTTGCATAGATGAGACAGTCATCCTCAAGAAAAGCGCAGACTGGGAGTCAGAAGGCCTAGGTTCCAGCTTCAGCCTGTGTGCTAACCGCTGCGTGGCCTTGATGGCTGTGGACCCTAGTTCTCACATTTTGCAGATGAAGGCATTGGACCAAGGTCATGTGTTTCCACCGTATTCTTCAGAGCCTTGCTGCCCTCTGAATCCCCTTTGAACGGAAGTGGGGTTTTTTGTTTGTTTGTTTTTTGTCATTCAAACGTTGGGGTTCTACATAGGGTGTTGGGGGGGAAGATTCCATTGCTAAAAATAATTTTCATTAGAGCAATGAATTAAAAGAACAAACAACTGTCTGGTTCCGCTGTAGACCTGAGATTTTATGACACTGGAGGTTTTATTTTTTTCTTTCAAGGTAGAGTAACTTCTTCCATTGATAGGGCAGAGAAATGCCCCTGTTTTTCCTCTGGTCAAAGGTGTCACCTTCCCACCCAGTGGAGCCACTCAGGCGTCGGTGCAGAGTTTGTGTTAGTAATATGTCACAGGTTTTAGAGGGTGAGGAACTTTGATATGTCAGCGGTTTATTTCACTGCAAACCTGCTTTTGTCTTTGTCTCCATGAGCCACTCAGGCGTCGGTGCAGAGTTTGTGTTAGTAATATGTCACAGGTTTTAGAGGGTGAAGAACTTTGATACGTCAGCGGTTTATTTCACTGCAAACCTGCTTTTGTCTTTGTCTCCACAGAGAAGCCGATGCTTCAGAGCAGGCACTCTTTAGATGGTTCCAAACTTACGGAGAAAGTCGAAACCGCACAGCCACTGTGGATAACATTAGCGCTGCAAAAACAAAAGGGATTTCGGGAGCAGCAAGCGACTCGGGAGGAGAGGAAGCAAGCCAGGGAGGCCAAACAGGCAGAAAAACTCTCCAAAGAAAATGTGAGTAGCCTGGTCTTCAACTTTGATTTTTGCCTTCCTGAGCTTGGCTCTCTTTTAGATCAGGAGGTTTTTTTTTTTAAAAAAAAGGGCTAGCTAGGGATGGTGACGAGTACTCAGGGATGCTAGAACAGTAAATAAATTGGTCACTGTTAAACTAGGGTTTCAGTGTGAAATTTGGTTTGGTTTCATTATGCCCTTAGGTTAACCTGATTTGGTAGAATCCACAACATATTTAGCAGTGATCCACATATTCAGCAGTTATATGAGAAATATGAAAATGATTTTATTTGAGCAGAGGGTTAAGAGGAAATCAGGAGACCTTGTTCAGTGGCCTGACTTTATAGTCAGTTCTACAGGGCTCTTGTGGGAAAGTAACTGTCCCTCTTTGGCACATTGGCACTGAGCTGCTCCTTTGTTGGGGGCCGGATTAAGCTGCTCCCAAGTGCAGTCCTGTCCCCCACTTTGGCAGCAGAGTTTGGGGAGGGCAGGTGGATCCCTAAGGCCTGCAAGGTCCGCCTTTCCATGTCTTGATGAAAACATGCTGTCCCTAACTGTTTCTGCCCACCCAGGTCAGTGTCAGCCTGCAACCTGCAAGCACCAGTGTCAGCAGAGCGGGTTCCCTGCACAAATCCACCACTCCTCCTGACGAGAAGAAGCCCGAGACTGCGGTGTCCGGGCTTGAGCGTAGAGAACAGCTGAAAAAGGCCAATACTCTTCCTACTTCTGTGACAGGTAGAGAGCAGGTCCAGTTCTACTTAATTATAGTTATAGGTTTCTTTTCTTAGAGCATGCTTTGTTTCCTGCGGTATAATAACTAGCATAGCACCTTAGGCAATTCAAAGCACAGGCTGTCTCACAACCCCATTCATAAACTTTGGCTCTGATAAAGACCACCAGGAACTCAACCACCATCACTGGTGTGATGGTAAATGTTTAATGGTCAGCTCTTCAGGGAGTGGAGATATTTCTGATTTGTAGCATTTTCCATTTTCCGTGGTGTCGGTACTCCCACCATGGCTATTTTGAAGCTACCAATGTGACGTCAACTGGCTTGGTAAATTTGTGAACATTTAACGAGATGACATGAGCCGTCTCCAGCTCCCCACTGCCTGTAGTCCAACAAAGTTAGGTTTATTCTTGCTGCAGCAAGGGAGAGCACATACCAGAAGAACCTGCTAAACAAAGGAGGCAATAAGCTTATGGTAGGGTTTGGGGGAAAGGGTGAAGTTTAGGTAAAATTTAAATGGAGCAGCATTTTGAAGGGCTCAATGCAAAACAGAGGTGTATATAAAAAAGTCAAGCCTGAGCTGAAAAGTAGACTCAGGGTCCTGTTTCCTTTGAAACTACCAAGTTAAGATAGATGTGTGAAATGTTGTGTCTGAGCGCCCCTAGCTGGAGCTCTGCCCCTGAGTTGGAAATGGAAGCTGCTTCTCTGTGTCACAGTGACCCCTCACATGGCTCAGATGATGCTCCATTCTCACTGATGTGATTTCAAACAGCAAGTTTCTGATAGGCTGACTTTACAGAATTAGGTTTCTCAGCACTGGATCCTTTTTTTTTTCCTTAAAAGATGACCGGTAAGGGGATCTTAACCCTTGGCTTGGTGTTGTCAGCACCACGCTCTCCCAAGTGAGCAAACCGGCCATCCCTATATAGGGATCCGAACCCATGACCTTGGTGTTATCAGCACCACGCTCTCCCAAGTGAGCTAACCGGCCATCCCTATATAGGAATCCGAACCCGTGGCCTTGGTGTTATCAGCACTGCGCTCTCCCGAGTGAGCCATGAGCCGGCCCTAGATCCTTGATGTTAATTAACAACAGCAGTTTTTATAGGTTCATAACACATAGGAGGCACATGCATAATTAAAAAAAATTCTTTATTCTGTTAAAAGGTAAAATGATCCAGTAGTTTGCAACTTTTTGCTTATTACAAATCACTTGGAGGATGAATAAATCTGAGCAGGCTTCCACCCAGGGGTTAATAGGGCATCTGTTTTCCCCTCTAGGCAATGCTATTCTCAGAGGGCATCCAACCCCAGACCCAGGCTTTTCTATGCCTTGGTTACCTCCTGCCTGAGGTCTGGAAATGTACAGAGGTCTCACTATTAATGATATGTTTACTACTGGGTGAAGGGGGAAATAAAAACCTTTGTGTTTAAATGCCACTTTAGGACACCGTATAATTTCTCAAGAACCTCCATAGGCTTTTTATTTCATTTAATCTTACATACAGTAATTAAGGGTTCTACATGTTAGAACCAGAGAGAGAGAAAGAAAGAATTTCTTTCAGAATAAAGTGAAAGCTCCAAAGTCAAAGAGAACACACCTTTCTCTGCCTGATTTCTTAGTAGTACTAAAGGGTTAATGCAACTAAGAGTGGCTCCAGCTTCATAAAGCAAGCCTTTGTTCTGAAGTATTTGTCTTTTCAGTTGATCAGTATTTCCTGTGTTCTAGAAGCACTAAATATGAACCAAGATAGATGAAAACCCTCTCACCTCAAGAAGCCTCTAAGCTGTAGTACAGAAAGTATTATGATGCAGAGGGATTATTAGACAAGAGTGAAAGTCGTGAGAGCTGGCAGGAGCTGTGGGCCTCAGAAGTGGGGGGGCGGACCCAGGGGATGCTTGGTGGGGAGGTAGCTTTTAACCTCACCAGCTTGATAGATCCAAACTGCTGGCTTGATCTTCTTCATGGGATTGACCAGTTAGTTATATGACTAGAGTCATAAAATTTACTTTTAGTTCTTGTTGTCATGCAGGCATAGTTTCTATGTATAGAAAATTAGGCTTCTAGAAACTCTCTGAAACTAGAATTGACTGCACTGTGGTCACTGTAATTCTGCATGCAACAGTTGTCATCCCATAGCTTGCTTTCCCTAGTTGCTCTCACCAAGGATGTCCATGAACTTGCCTCTTTGTGTTTAACTGGGTTTTCTTTTCTGAATCTCATACTTCTGATAAATCAAAATGTGGTTGGGAGGTGGGTTGGGGAGATGTTGGTCAAAGGAAACAAATTTCAGTTGGATAGGAGGAATATGTTGAAGAGATCTATTGTGCAACATGGTGGCTACAGTTAATGACAATAGACAGATTGAGTATCCTTTACAGAGATGCTTGGGGCCAGAAGTGTTTTGGATTTTGGAATATCTGCATTATATTTATTGGTTGAGCATCCCAAATCCAAAAATCCGAAATGCTCCAGTGAGCATTTCCTTAAAGCGTCATGTCTGTGCTCAAAAAGTTTCAGATTTTGGAGCATTCAGATTTCAGATTTTCAGATTTATAATACTCAACCTGTATTATATTCTTGAAGAATGTTAAGAGTAGATCATAAATGTTCTCACCCTAAATAACTTTGTGAGGTAATGCATATGTTAATAAGCTAGATTTAGCCATTCCGCAATATGTATATATTTCAAAACATCATGTTATAAATGATAAATACATACAATTTTATCTAATTAAAAATTTTTTTCTAATGTAGTTCTGACTTGCTCCTTTCTCCTTTTCCTTCAAAATGAAATCCAGTGGAGATCTCCGATTCAGCTCCCACAGCACCGCTGGTGAAGGAAGTCACCAAGAGGTTCTCCACCCCAGACGCTGCTCCTGTGTCAACAGAACCAGCCTGGCTGGCTTTGGCCAAAAGGAAAGCAAAGGCCTGGAGCGACTGTCCACAGATTATTAAGTAAAGGGTGATTCTTTTCCATTCCTGTTGCCAGTTCCTGGCTCCTCTCTTGCCCTTTTTATTTATTTATTTTTTATATGAGGTAAAGAAACAAAGTTAGGGAAACGAAGCATGTTTTACAGGCTCTAAAATAATGGAGCGACTGTCCACAGATTATTAAGTAAAGGGTGATTCTTTTCCATTCCTGTTGCCAGTTCTTGGCTCCTCTCTTGCCCTTTTTATTTATTTATTTTTTATATGAGGTAAAGAAACAAAGTTAGGGAAACGAAGCATGTTTTACAGGCTCTAAAATAACGTTTAGAAGCAGAACTGGTGGTGTCGATTGTAAAGAGTGTATTTGCACAACCCTAGGTCTTGGTGCCTTGAGCTCTTCCTAGTTCTCGAGAGAAAATTCCGTCCAAGAGACCACAATGAAGCAAAATCTCCAAACAAAGAACTGCTCCCGAGAGCCTACCATGCTCTTCAGGGGCCCTTCCACACATATGCCCACACACTATTCAGAACACGTACTTTTGCCAGTTTTTGTAATGGGTTTTTGATTCTCTGCTCTAATTTCTTCTATCCAGAACATTTACCCTGCCATATGTTTGGGGATGTCTGCCCTTTCTACAGTCATGGTGAAAGGATCATATATAGATAGAAACAAGAACACCCGTTCTTCTGAGTGCCCTGAGTAACTGAGAATCACAGGAAATAGTCTGGCTTCCAACTCTGTGCCCAAGTCTGGTTTTCATGAACCTCCCCACCCTGAAGCTGTAACATGGAAGGCAAATCTGTTTACCTTCTACCACACTGTTGATCCACAGGCCCCATTACATCAGTACCCTCCTTAAGGACATGTGAAGCATTTGGTCAGTTGGCTCCCAGGGAACATTTTTGTTTAACACGGTGAAGAAAGGAAATTCTGTATCAGAGCTACAAGTTCTCCTTTCATCTCTGAGAATCTCCATCTAGTGCAGTAGCTCTTTAGATGTGCAGGCTCCATCCCAGGCCTACTGAATCGGATCCTATGAGAATGGGACCGGGAGTGTACATTCCAGAAAAAAACTTCAGATGAATTCTCATATATCCCAAAGGTTAAGAACCTTGGGATACTCTGATTCTAGTGTAATCTAGTGTTTCAGATTCCGAAGAGGAGGCTCATTTACCCAAAGAAGCAAAAGTGAGAGGAGAAATAAAACAACCCCTCAAACTGGCCATTTATTACAGGTATGACAGACAGGCTGTTGACATTACATGTCTCAGAAAACTCCCTTTGGTATTTAGGGAAAATTAACGGGAAGCCAAGATCTGGAGACTTTGTACTAAGGACTTCCTGTAGAAAGCTTTTTTCTTTACTATAATTGAGTAATTCATATCTAGAGTCAAATGTTCAGTAGCATTTATAATCTAGAGCATTCACCTTGCTACCTTTAAAAACACATCTCAGAGTTTTAAGTGGCCTTTGTATTATCATATACATGTGCATACAAAGAAGGGACTTGGCAGTTTAAAAGCCACATGTATTCACTTTTATTTCCCTAAATTTGCTTTACATGTATCATAGACATACCAGCAAACCCACATATTTCTGGTACTAACTTCATATTTCATAGTGTTGACATATTCCCCTTTTTTTAGATTTTTACTCCAAAATATAGGTACAAATCCTTTGGCCAGTGCAGAGGAATTACATCCTTTTCCTTCTCCTACAAAAACACACATATCCGTCATTAACTTTCTCCTGTGCTCACTCCATACACAAGGTGCTGCTATTTTTATCATTTACCTTAAAGAAAGGATGACATCAGTTATTTACCATATAGAAGCCACTTTCTTTCTAGGAACAATTGCTCAGCACTGCTGTAGCAGCTGGCATGTGTGGTCAAGTGGATAGTTGTATTCCTGCAAGTTGGACTTAATATTATATATACTGGGCCCTCAGACTGTTAAGAATCAATGTAAAAATTTTTTTATTGCTATGGAAAGTTATTAATATTCCATTGCAAGTTTTCCACACTGATGTTCATTTCTAAATCTTATATATAGGCATTTATATGTTAGTTCCAATGACTTCCTCACTAATATAACACTTTTTAATGGGGATCTTTCCATCTAGAACTCTAGAATTATAGTGCTACAGTAATTCTTCTGAGTGGACTTTTTATTTCATCCTGTCAGCTTTGGACAATATCACGGTAGTGGCAGGGAATAGGCAAGGAAAGATCATTAACAACGAATGGTAAACGAGTCAACTCTGGACTGGCTTAGATACCATTGCGCCAATACAAAGTAGGAGAAATATCTCAGTTAATTTTCCATTAAAGCCTTTAAAAGAAGAATATACCGAGGAAAGGGCAGTCACAGTACTTACTTCTAACCACTTCTAAAGGGTACATGTTTAAAAAAAAGGTACACATTTAACATTTCATTTAAAAATCACCCCAAATTTGCACTAAATACCAATGAAGTGTTATTTTGCTTTAGTTGTGTTGGTCGTTACTGAGCAACAAACTATGGGGAAATTCTGTAAAAACGTATAAAAAAAGTTCAAGACAGTTTTTTTATTTTAATGAAGGATTACTATGTTCACTACACAGCTTTTTTTTTTTTTTTTTAAATTTAAATAAACATATATTTCTCCTGGCAAGGTTATAGATGATTAACCTCTGTTAATAGACTTACGTATAAAACTAGCATTTTCTGTTTACTTTTTTAATTTTTCAAGTGCAATTGTTTCTTACACAAACATTATTAATTACTATTAAGTTATCATTTTAGCCGGTTATCTGCAAATGTATAGTATATATTGTCTCTTCTTGTGACGTTTAGTTTAATTGCTTATTTTAAAGCAGAAACATCAGTTACAAGTGTCTTGCAATATTTTTACCAACAATAAAATTACAGACTTAATGAAAATACCTTAGCGTGATTTTAATAGTTTTGAGATTTCAGTTGTATAAAGATTAATGTAAAATGTCCATTATTGAAGGGAAAAGATCTTTCAATAAAAAATACCGACAAGATGTTTAGCACTGATGGAATTTCCTTTTAAGTTGAAGTTTTTACTAATTTCTGTGACTATCTACAAGCAATCTCATATTTACATAGCTTTTGTTGAACAAGAAAAATTTCAAGGTGTTTTATATGGTACTCTATTTTTCATTAGGTATTTTGGAGAAAAATAGTGAGTGGGGTAAATAAAGTTTATCTCAATCTCAAATTGGAACTGAATGGTCTGAGTCTCCGATAAAGTGATACTACCGCCTGCTTATTCAGTGTGGGCCAATGGACCAGCAGCAGCAGCGTCAGCTGAGAGCATGTGAGAAATGGAGCCTAGGGCCACATGCCAGACCTTCTGACTCACAAGGATGAGGGTGTGAAGTGAGTGGGGCAACTGAGGCACTTTGCCTTAGCTGCCAAAACTCAGTAATCAAGAGAAATACTATTTTAATGCATTATTTTAAAAACCAAAATTAATGCAAAAAAATTGCGTGATGAACAAAAGATCAAAATTTTAAGTAAGGGCAGGGTATTTCTAATTTTTTCTTTTGCTTCAGCTCGTGCGGCTTGGTGGGGCCCCTTCCTCCCAGCCCTGCTCAATCACAGTTTGCATTTTAGCAAGAGCTCCAGGTGATTAACATGCACATTAAGCGTTGAGAAGCACTGATCTAAAAGGTGGGAGAAGATAGGTCTTTCTTTCTGGCCAGCCAGCACCTAAATCCCCTATTTAAAGGAATTGTCCAACTCATAGGTCTTAGTGGGAGGCAGCACCCACCTTCCACTTGGCCTCTCCCAAGATGCCAGGTATTGACAGAAACAGGCATGAAACCTGTTTCACTTTGCTCCCAATTGTCTCTTCCAATTCAATTGACCAAAAGATGGGGAAACTGTGAGGAAGTCTGGTAGTGATGCCGGTGATGGGGAACAGTGTCCAGTGTCAATGGTGTTAGCCGTAAGTTTAGATTTAGAACTTCAAGGAT